GCAAACCCTAGTCCTAAAACTTAAATTACGCCTAACCCTAACCCTCACTAAACCCAACAGCCTGACCGAAACGGGCGACCTGCCTAACTCAGTAAGAGCACGCCTACTGATAACAAGTACGTACGTCGACAGTATCAACGTATAATGTCTGGCTACCAACTGCGATCTTACCGTTTGAACGACCCGCGGGAAGTAACGTTCGCTAGCGATCAGAGGAAATGAAATGCGATAAAAAGACCAGAAGATACGCCAAACTTGCAAAGTAACTTGGACGGATTTCAGCAGTGGTGTGATGGATGGCTCCCTAACCTCAATTTCAACAAATGTCAACTCATTCGACCACGACCTCGTTACAGACACATGATGAGATTTGAATACCAGTGTTTCATCGGAGGTCATCAACTCAAGCCAGCAAATGAATTAAGGGGCCCAGGTCTGTGGATGACATCCGCTCTCAAGCTTTCGATTTATTGCGCCAAGATAGCAAAGAAAGCTATGTGTACCCTGAAAGTGCTTAGAAGATGCCTCCTCAACTTTGACTGAGAGTGAGGAGAGTCCATCCTCACGGGATGTTAGAGTGAGATTGCTCATTCTGACAGCCCGTAATGCTCGTTTCCTTTTAGATAATCCAATGGCAAGCCGCCCGGAAGGAGTGACGCTCTGGTTGCCGCGAACTTAACCTCTACAAGGTGAACCTCACTGTTCTCAGTGAGACTCGATTCTCCGAAGAGGGTTGGCTGAAGGAGGTGAGTGCAGGCCACATCTTCTGGACCGACCATCTAAAGACAGAGTGACTCGATGATGGCGTCGTCTTTGCCACTGGAATAGTATCGTGGGGAAACTGTCTCATCTGTCACAGGACATCAACGACCGCCCCATAACCCGGCGCCTGCCATTTCGGGGAACCAGGTTTGTCACCGTCGTCAGACTCTACGCCCTCTACTGACCAAATATCACGAGTTAAAGAACAAGTTTTATGGAGAACTTCGGGCCCTCCTATCGAATGTGCCGGACTCAGGCAAATCAATTGTCTTTGGTGACTCTAATGGCAGAGTCTACACAAACCATTTAGCCTAGGGGAGCCCGCAAATACAACGGCTTTCCCGTCATACAGCCCTGCGAGAAACACAACTTCCTTCTGGCCATTACCCTCCTTCGCCTTGTGACGGCGAAAAAGGCAACATCAGTAGTAGTTCAAGGGCGATGACGAAGAAATTGGCAGTCTGCTCCTTGAGAAGTATAGGCTACATACGACTTGTGACAGCCGCAAAACCAATGCAAGCGCGACGGAATTCTTTAGAGCCTGTTATAACACTTACTGCGAGAGATCCGATGTGCATGTGTAGGTCAAACTGCTAAACGGTTTGAACGGTTTGATTTTATTAGGACTACCTATCGGAGAAATTGCGAATCAACTTAACTCTGCTCTTGCTTTTACTATCCACGCAGTGTCCGCGCCTTGATTTCCATCTTATTCTTTTTTCTCCGTATTTACTGTTACATTATCCGTCCTAATGTCAAAACCCGCTCCAATATTCCACCTATGCTGTGCGAAAACCCGGAGGTGTTGATACCCCTTTCACAAAAAGTCGATATGGAAACCGAATTTTTTAACGTCCCGCGCACGGCCCAATTTAGTAAGAGATTGTCCAGCCAGGCAGTGTAATTTAGGTTATCGTCGCAGCACATAGTAGATTGGAAGGCAAGAAGGAAAAATGGCACAGAAAGGGTTGCTTGTTTCAGGTGAATCATTCGCGTCTTCACGAAATAAGCCGCTTTGTTCAGCGGTCGGCAAATGGCAACTTGAATCAGCGCTCGAGCTTTTGTCTGGCAACGCGCGTCAGGGCTCAAAACAGGCTGTAGCAAGTACCTGCTAAACCAGAACAAATAAAAATAACTAAGTCTAATATGGCGGTCATTTATGCTTACTTGAAATGCATTTTGCTCAATGTGAGAAGAAACGGCATCTTCATTTGTGACCCAACTTTGAAAAACTCGGCGACCTCAGTGGGATTGGAATCTACGAGTATAAGGGGAAGGCTTGGGCTCGCTTTGAGCGGCGAGTTTAATCACATTTGTGTAAACTTACACGTTTAGCCTACTGAAACAAATAGTATGCACCAAATCAAATACAGAATACTAACTGCTCAAGCAGGATTTCCTACCTTATTAATCTGGAATCCACCGGAGGACTTCCAGTCGCATGTAATGTGAAAGGCAAGTCTCGGGAAAGCTGGCAGAACAAGACAGTTCACAAAGTAAATGCTAATAGTAGATCACGAAAATCACTTGTGTCGTGAGGTTTGTCATATATCAACCATCGTTAATCGAGAAAGTGGGCGCGATAAATAAAGACAAACAGCTAATCCACTACACTGCCACTAATCCATCCTGGCAGTATTTTTACAGCTAGAGATTCGGCTTAAAAATTCAAGTAGTTGATTGCCATAAAAGCGATGCAATTTCCTCTTGCACGAAAGCACAGGGCTTCCAACAAACCATCGTTCACGTGCGACATTAATAGCATTAGAAAGAAGGCTGAATATGCTAGCCTACAGACAAGCATATATTGACCCAGGCATAGAGAGAACACGCCACTGTAAACGTTTTTCATCATCGGGATTATCGCAACATATTTGACTGTGTTGAAAGGTCATTTTGGTTTCAGAATTGGGAGTAATCCAGTCATTTCAAGAGCGTCATTTTTCTATGTACTATGTTCAGCACTGAGGATACATGTCAGTCCTTCAACCAAGGCAATACTGGACGAGCTCAAAGGATACAAACTAGAATACCGTGGCAAGGTGACTCTGAAGGGTCGAGGCAACGTGGACATGTATTGGCAAGTGGGCAAAAGGGGTTTCAAGAGACCAATAAAAAGGCCCCTTGAAAGTGATGGGTAGGTATTTTCATCCTTGATATGGTTTTCTACTCAATTCCCTCGCCGAATTTTCGTTGACAAAAGACTGAGGAAATGACAATAGTAAATTACTAGAGAAAGCACGAAGTGTGGGAGAAAAAAAGGAAATCGATGGTGGCATGAATAGTATAACCTCAGATATACAACACAAAAATTACGCTGACCAATTCGAATTGGCTTGCTGGAAACACATATTGCAAAGTAAACGTTGAAATATTTGTTCCATAACAACGATTGTTGCAACGTCGAAGGTGACGGGATCCAACACGGGCTTAATCACGATTTCCCTCCATGCACAGTGACATTTCCGTGTCAGACCGACTTCACGTGCGATTGGGCTCATTTATTTGCGTGGTGTAACGGCCTATCTTGCGTACGACATAAGAGTTCTACAACAACAATATCCATTATACAGATAACTAGAATCGTGAAGATTGGAGGTTATCATGTTAGTGCAAATCCGCAAGTCAACATTGAATTTTACCTTTTATCGTATGATATATATATGTGTGCGTTAATAGAAGCGAAGATGCGCGTCCCCGGATATAAATGAGAAGAAAAGGCGATCTCGGGAACCATTGTTTTACTGTCCTGACGTTTCAAAAGCATACAAGCTTCCATCGTCGGAGGTGAGTGTGGTATCGCGCCTCACAGTATTTATAGGTGGGTGAAAGTCATCTCAAAACGGGTT